TACTATCATCAAGAGGCTCTTTAGATTCACTTTCTGCCATAAGGTTGGTATCATCTGTATATCTGAGGTTATTGCTATTTCTCCCAGAAATCTTGATTCCAGCTTGTGATTAACTGAGCCCGGGGTTTCACATGATGTACTATGCATATAAGTTAAATAAGCAGGGTGAAAATATACAGCCTTGATGTACTCCTTTCCCAATTTGGAACCAGTCTGTTGTTCCACGTCCAGTTCTAACTGTTGCTTCTTGACCTGCACACAGATTTCTCAGGAGGCAGGTAAGGTGATCTGGTATTCCCATCTCTTGAGGGATTTTCCATAGTTTGTTGTGATCTACACAGTCAAAGGCTTTGGCATAGCAAAAGTAGATGTTTTTCTGGAACTTTCTTGCTTTTTCAATGATCCAGTGGATGTTAGCAATTTGATCTCTGGTTCCTATGCCTTTTCTAAATCTACCTTGAACATCTGGAAGTTCATGGTTCATGTACTGTTGAAGGCTGGTTTGGAGAATTTTGAGCATTTCTTTGCTAGAGTGTGAGATGAGTGCAATTGTGTGATAGTTTGAACATTCTTTGGCNCAGTCTTGTTTTTGCTGACTGTATAGAGCTTCTCCATCTTTGGCTGCAAAGAATATAATCAGTCTGATTTCAGTACTGACCATCTGGTGATGGTCAAGTTGTCTCTTGTGTTGTTGGAAGAGGGTGTTTGCTATGACCAGTGCGTTCTCTTGGCAAAACTCTGTTAGCCTTTGCCCTGCTTCATTTTGTACTCCAAGGCCAAATTTGCCTGTTACTCCAGGTATGTCTTGATTTCCTTGATTTTGCAGTCCAGTCCCCTATGATGAAAAGGACATCTTTTTTGGGTGTTAGTTTTAGAAGGTCTTGTATGTCTTCATAGAACTGTTCAACTTCAGCTTCTTCTGCATTACTCGTTGGGACATAGACTTGGATTACTATGATATTCAATGGATTGCTTTGGAAATGAACAGAAATCATTCCTTCATTTTTGAGATTGCACCCAAGTGATGGTATTCACTCTTGCCATCTCCTGTTTGACCACTTCTAATTTACCTTGATTCATGGGCCTAACATTCCAGGTTCCTGTGCAAAATTGTTCTTTACAGCATCAGACTTTACTTCCATCACCAGTCATAGCCACAGCTGGGCGTTGTTTTCATTTTGGCTCTGTCTCTTTATTCCCTGTGGAGTTACTTCTCCACTCTTCTCCAGTAGCGTATTGGGCATCTACCAACCTGGGGAGTTAATCTTTCAGTGTCATATCTTTTTGCCTTTTCATATTGTTCATGGGTTCTCAAGGTTTCATGAGGTTCTTAGGGTTTCATGTATATGTTGGCTATTTATATGTCTTTGGAGGAATGTCTATACAGATCTTTTGCCCATTTTAAAATCAGGTATGTATGTATGAATCTGTATAGGTATCTATGTAGCTATTGAGTTGTGTGAATTTATTATATATTTCAGATATTATCCCCTTATCAGGCATGTGGTTTGCAAATATTTTCTGTTATTCTATAGGTTGCCTTTTCATTTCATTGACTGTTTCCTTTACTTTGCAGAAGCTTTTTAGTTTGATGCTGTCCCAGTTATTCCTGTCACTGCTTTTGTTGCTTGTACTTTTGGCATCATGTCAAAAAATCTTTGCCCAGGTCAAAGCCAAGAAGTGTATTCTTTATGTTTTATTCTATTAGTTTTATGGTTTCATGACTTACATTTAAGTATTTAATTTGTTCTGAGCTTTCCTCAGCTTTATTGAGATATAATTGACATGTAACACTGTGTAAGTTTAAGGTATATAGTATGACGATTCGGTCCACGTATATATTGTAGAATGTTTTACCACAATAAAGTTAGTTATCATATCCTCTACCACACATAATCACCGTTTTGTTGTTGATGTTGTTATAACGAGACCATTAAAGCTCCACTCTCACAGTTACTTTCAAGTATACAATAAAGTATTGTTAACTGTAGTCACTATGTTCTACCCTAGAAACTCAGAACTTATTCATATTATAACTGGAAGTTTGTACCCTGTGCCCAACATACCCCCATTTATGTACCCCTTAACCCCAGCAACCACCACTCTAAACTCCGTTTCTATGAGTTTGATGTTTTCAGAATCCACACAGAAATGAGATCATAACAGTGTTTGTCTCTCCCTTTCTAACTTATTTCACTTAGCATAATGCCCTCAAGGTCCATCCATGTTGTTGTAAATGGCAGGATTTCCTTTTTTTCTTTTGATGGCAGAATAATATTCCATTGTATGTATATCCATACATACACATCCATCCATACATATCCATTTTGAGTTGATTTTTGTATTTGATGTTCAAATGCCTTCCCTGAAAAAAAAATACCTTCCCTGGTGGCTCAGATGGTAAAGAATCCTCCTGCAATGTAGGAGACTGAGGTTCAATCCCTGGGTCAGGAGGATCCCCTCTAGAGGGGAATGGCTACCCACTCCAGTATTCTTGCCTGGAGAATTCCATGGCTGGTGGCTCAGATGGTAAAGAATCCTCCTGCAGTGTAGGAGACTGGGGTTCAATCCCTGGGTCAGGAGGATCCCCTCTAGAGGGGAATGGCTACCCACTCCAGTATTCTTGCCTGGAGAATTCCATGGATAGAGGAGCCTGGTGGGCTACAGTCCATGGGGTTGCAAAGAGTCAGACACGACTGAGCAACTAATTTATTATTATGAGATAATCATCCAAGTTTATTCTTCTGCATGTGAATACCCTTCCCCNGATCATACACGTGAGGGATTATTTTTTGATTCTGTTCCATTGACCTATGTGTCAGTTTTTATTCCAGTGTGTTAGTCAGTCTCTCAGTCATGTCTGACTCTTTGGGACCCCAGGGACTGTAGCCCACCAGGTTCTTCTGTCCATGGGATTTCCTAGGCAGGAATACTGGGGTGGGTTGTCATTTCCTCCTCTAGGGGATCTTCCCAACTCAGGGATTGAGTCCATGTCTTTTCTGTCTCCTGCATTAGCAGATGGGTTCTTTACCATTGACATTACCTGGGAAGTGCCAAGGTGGGGTTTATGCCAGTACCATAATGTTTTGATTACTGTAGCTTTTCAATAAAGTCTGGAGTCAAGAAGTGTGATATCTTCTCAAGCTTTATGGTTCTTTTTCAGGATTGCTTTGGCAATCCTGAGATCTTTTGTGGTTCCATACAAATTTTAGTATTATCTGTTTAGTGAAAAATGCCATTAAAATGTTGCTAGAGATTCCATTGAAACTGTAGATAACTTTAGGTAGTCTAGGTATTTTCAATATTAATTCTTCCTATCCATTCTATCATTTCATTTATTTGTGTCTTCTTCAGTTTCTTTCATCAGAGTCTTTTCCTTTTATTTGATGAGTTTATATTTCTGTTATTCTTATATGCATCTTGAAATTTTCTATGATGTAATTTTTAAACTCTTAAAAAATCATTTTATGCTGTCTTTGTGTTACTTTGTTTTCTGTCTTTTGTTGGTGACAAAAATCTCCTGCTGTCATTACACTCTAAAGAACATTAAATACCAGATAATAATATTCCATCTATACAGAGGTCAAATGATGAGAACTCCCAAATTCTACAATTAGGAATTTCCATTTATATGTAGGGTCAAAATAAAGAGATTGTGCAGTGTTGGTGGTATAGTGGTGAGCATAGCTACCTTCCAAAATAAAGAGATTCACAGACATGGAGTCTTTAGATTTAATAATGTCCATTTCTTTAAGAAAATCTAGATGAGTGCACATTACAACAAAATAGAAGCAGAATGAAATAACTTATAAATAATGATGGGTAACACTCAAATGTTGGGTATTAGTGCTCTAATGCTCTATATGTTCATTTCATTTAATACTCACAGTGTCTTTATAATGTAGATATTATTTCTGTATTATTTATAGGAAATTGACACAGAAATGTTAAGTAATTTACTGGAGTCATAAAGCTTATATGGGCAGAGCAAGGGTATGAATATAGGCATCTGGATCTTAAGACAATGCACCTAACCATTGTGCTCTAATGAAAAGGGAAGTAAAACTGGATAAATGTTCTGTAAAAGGAATACTTGTCAGCACTAAATAATTTTAAAATTAGAATGAGACCAAAGAACTATAGAAATTACAACTAAACTCCATAATATAATTGATTAAAAAGTCACATCTCATGCTTAGTCACTTGGTCGTGTCCAGCTCTTCTGCATCTCCATGGACTGTAGCCCACCAGGCTCCTCTGTTCATGGGATTTCCCAGGCAAGAATCCTGGAGTGGGTTGTCATTTCCTTCTTCAGGGGATCTTCCTAACCCAGGGACTGAACTCATGTCTCTTGTGTCTTCTGCATTGCAGGTGGATTCTTTACCACTAAGCCATTGGAGAAGCCCCTCCCTCAAAAAAAAAAGTCATATAATGTAAAGTAATAATTCATGAGTGATACCCAGAAACAATAATCCCAGAAAGTAGAAAAAAAAAGCAGGAAGGGGGTGAATTAAAGTGGCAGAGAGAAGATGGAGACTGTTAAAGTAAAATAAATCTGTAATCTTTCATGGGAGCTGTCAACATGCTTTGTTCTTATGGTTTAAATTCATAAATATATGTTTAAGATGTTCAAAATTATAAAGAGAAAATAAAAATAGTTAAATGCTATAGAGGACAATAAATTGAATAAAATCCTTAACAAAGTTGATCAATAAGACAAAAAACAAAGTGTCAAGATAAAATACATAAATGATTAATTCAGGAGATACAACATCTAACTGAATTCTAGAAAGGAAGTGATGGTGGTTGTGTGAGAGGGTAGAAGGAAAAACAGACCAGAGGGTAGAAAGAAAAACAGATAAAAACGAGATAAAGTTTCTTGTATTTTATTTTTCATTCACCTTATAGCCGGGGAGGGGAGAGGGTGATAGAGGGCTCCCTTACAGTTAGTAGTCTAGAATTCTACCTTAAGTTCAAGCACTTGGCAACACAAACTCATTTCCTTTTATTCCGTGTTCTTGTTCACTACTTAAAATATTGCAGGTATTTCCCAAAAGTCCTTTTCACAGCTGCCTTCACCTCCATGTTCTTTAGGCTGTAGATGATGGGGTTCAGCATGGGCGTGACTGCACTGTACTGCAAGGATGAGAGCAAATCCAGGAAGGAACCGGAAGTGGGCATGAGATAGCGAATCAAACCGGAACCAAAGAACAGGATCACTGCGATGAGGTGGGAGGAGCAGGTGGAGAAGGCCTTGCTTCTGCCTGTGGTGGAGCTGATGCTCAGGATGGTGGAGACAATGCGAGCGTAAGAGAAGAAGACTGGGAGGAAGGTTCCAAGACCATGGAGTAAGATGGAGCAGATCAGGATGTCGATATTGATAGAGATATCAGAGCAAGACAGAGGGAAGAGGGAGGGCAGCTCACAGGTGTAGTGGTGGATCGTTTGTGCCTCACAGAAGTCCAGGTTAACAGCCAAAAGCAAGATGACGACTGAGTTGAGAGAGGCCAGGCCCCATGAGGCCAGTATAAGTTTTACACAGAGCTGGGTGCTCATCAGCTGGCCATAGAGCAGTGGGTGACAGATGGCGGCATAGCGGTCATAGGCCATCATTGAGAGAAGAAAAGCTTCAGTCCCTGCAGTGATAAACACAAAGAAGACCTGAGTCAGGCAGCCCTCGACAGAGATCGTTTTCTTCTCAGACAGGAGGTCCTTGAGGAGCTTGGGCACAGTGACAGAGGAGAAGCAGAGGTCTAGGAATGATAGATTACTCAAGAAGAAGTACATGGGCGTGTGGAGGTGGGAGTCAGCCCTGATCACCAGCAGCATCGTCAGGTTCCCCATCATGGTCAGGAGGTAAATCACCAGGAAGAGCACAAAGAGCAGAGCCTCGATGCGGGGGTTGTCTGACAGCCCAGTGAGGACGAACTCGGTGATGGTGCTGTGGTTCCTCATGGCCATTTGTGGAGGCTACTTCCTTGAAATAAAATAGAGAGATGAGATGTCCTGTCTTTTTCAGAGTTTCACTCCTCTTTTTATAGGTTCCTCTCTACTCTGCCTAGACTCTGCTCAGACATCTCAAAGCTGCCCTATCTGTATCTCAGTAAGTGTTTACATCCTGTTTTGTTATCACTTCTCTTGGGTCTCAGTCTTCACATACCTCAGAGATTCCTATAAAAATGAATATCTCTGGATTACCTACACATTCATAGTATTTAGATTCTGCTTCATCCATCTTACAGTTTAGAAATCCTAAAAATTCTAGCACGTATCTGCAGTGATTTTCTAAACCTTTTCTTCTCTTTTCAGTTTTTCAATCATATATGTATTTTTTTGTTTAAAACCTTCTAAGATTGATGATGACTCTGAGCATTCTCATCCTTTTACTCCAGTGGCTTCAGTTACAGTAATGCCTGCCAGCAATATTTCAGTGTTGCTGTGCAGTCTATCTGTGTTGCATAGGGGCTACTGTTGTTGAATTTCAAGGATGCTGTTATCTACACAGGTGTCCTGTCCCATGTCATTGCAACACCCTTTGATGCTCTCTCGTTTTTTAATAATCCACAAGCGATTTTGCCATTGCTGCAAGAAGCTCTTGCATTCGTGTTGTGGATACATTATTTTGTTTTCCCAGGAGGGTCAAAGTGGAAAGAGTCTCATAATTTTCCTTTAAACTTCTATTGCATCCTATTACTCAAAGTACCAGCTGTGTACAAGAGGACCAGATGGTTAGTAGTTTATGTTAATGATGATACTAAGAGGCATTTTGAAGCCTAATTTCTGGCACTACATGGTAAGTCACTGTCTTAGGTGAAGATTCCTGCCTCACTTGGACCTTTTGAGGCTAATTTACAGGTATTCTGTTTTTGTCTGTCAATCCACAGTCTGATCCCGTAGTAGTCTTCTGTCCTCACAAGAACGTGATCTTGCTGATTCAGAGAACCCTGTTTCTGACCCTTCCAGCTTGCCAGAAATCCATTACCAGATGCTAACTTATGTCAAGAGAAGTTTGAATTCTGATTTCAATAACAACCCCATAAACCCAAGCTGAAGTCCATCTTAGACTCAAGTCTAGGTTACCTGTGTGCCAGAATAGAGGGCAGTGTTCACCTTTGAATGTCTTTGAGATGTTAGCTTAGACCTGGTGATGGTGAAGCATAATCATCTGGAGAAATGTCTTTTGAGGATCCTGCATGGATGAAATGTAAATACTGTTGAAAGCAGTATTTTGAATTTCTACAGGCAAAATAAATGATGAGTGAAAGCAAGTCTTTCCAATAATTTGGATATTTCAAAATATTTATTGAATGGCTGTCTTGAAAATTGCTTCCATTCCTCCACTTTCATTCACAGAAGCGGAGCTGGCCAGTGTCCACAGTGTTCACAAGGACTTCAAGCTTTCTTCTTAAGAACATGGTAGCATTTGCAGAGAATCACTTTGTGTCCTGCCTGACACCCACATTTTGTGTGAATAAAGGTGGCAGCTACTTCTCTTACATGCTTTTCAAGTTATCACTTAGAAAGGAATATCCTGACAAGTGCTCAGGGCTGGTGCACTGGGAAGACACAGAGGGATCGGATGGGGAGGGAGGCGGGAGGGGGGATCGGGATGGGGAACACATGTAAATCCATGGCTGATTCATGTCAAGGTATGGCAAAAACCACTACAATATTGTAAAGTAATTAGCCTCCAACTAATAAAAATAAATGAAAAAGAAAAAAAAAGAAAGGACTATCCTACTCCCTTGCCATCTCTAAATAGCATCTCAAATTGATATCTGAAATTTCTTTAATGATTAGGAACAACTCTTTTCATTTAAATTCTATAATTAAGCATAAAATAAACCAAATTTGCAGTCATTTTTAGAAAGGGATGATATTGACTTCAGTGAATCCTGAAGTACAGAAGATTGATGCCAGATTTATAATATCTTAATATATATGATATTTATAATAATATATAAATATAGTATATTATATTGCAATATTATAATATAGTATAATTTTATATTATATAATGTAGTATATATGATATAATTAGATATAATAATATTTAACTGTGTAATATTTATAATATTTTGAGTGAGAGCAGAAAACGACAGAAGAGAGAAACTGAGAGGTTAATTGTGGATGGGTAGGAGATGTAAAAAGTGGATTTCAGAAGTGTCTTAGATAAGCACTTGTGTCACCATTTTGCCAACACAGACACTTCCTATCCATGGCACATCTGGCCATATGATCTGTATCTCTTACAAAGAGATGAAGTAGGATACTGGATATGTCTCTGATTTTATAGTTCTCAGAAGGTTCACTAAAATAAACATCTTCCCTAATTCAGCTGTTTAATAGAGAAAATCCAAATGTATTTCACCAATTTTGAATTAAGCCCAAAGTTAAGAGGAACAACTCTGATGGAGCTATTATCTTAGTTACCTGAGCTTGTCTGGGTCAGTTATTTGACAGCAGGTTTCTATAAAATGAGAGACTTTTTAGGTATCTGGTGAAGAGCCCTGCTTGAACTGGCTGCTAAGAGAAGTTTCTGGAATGAAGAAGTGAATGAAGGGTGTGTGTGTGGAAGGTCAGACTGCACGAGGTGACTTGAGGGATCCAGCATGTTGAGGGGTAACAGTCAGACCCTAGGTGCAAGGGGGAGGAACTTCGAGAAGGGTATCAGCCCTGGAAGCAGAAAGGACCAAAGGCAGACTTCATCCATTTGAACTGCTTGTCAGGACTCTCCTCTCCTATGCATCCTTGCACTGTTCACAGTATCTCCAAAGTGACTAGATATGAGGGTGATTTCAATCATGGAAAAAATCTACTACAGTTCTCCTAACTGGAGTACTGAGCAAGCAGATAAATAGGTACCTCAAACATTGTAATATCTATCACTGATACCCTCATTTCATTCCAGGCTTCAGCTTTCTGCAATCTTTTGGGATCCTGAAACAGGAGAGGATTGATGTCCAGGCTTTAAAGTGTTACTGTCCTTTGTGTTAAGCAGAGAGGGAAGAAAGACCTTCCAGAGGAGGTGTCCAAGGCAGCTGTACAAATGCCCCATTTGGAGAAGCAGGTATCAGAGTCCCATCCAGGGGAGATGGCCTGCCAAGGAGTAGGATATTTCCACCTATATCTGAGGGATGAGGAATGGGCGGCTCAGGAACTTCTGGGTTTTGGACTAATGAACTGTATCATGAAGTGGCAGGAGGAGGTGGAGGAGAGGATAGGCAGCAGAATTAAAATAAACACAGAACTTTATAAGCAGAAAAATAGGGGAAACACCAGAAAATCAGAGAAGATATTACCATTCTCCTGGTCCTTCTTGGAGGAAGCAGCTCCACATACTCTGTCTTGTCCATCTTGGGTAGACAGGTCATAAGTAAAGTCTCCCTACAAGGGAACCTCTGTCATGAAAGGCTGACTCTTTAGTATTGAGTATATAGCTTTTTCTCTTTGCCATCAGCTAGTGAAGGAAATTAGAATGCTTCAAGCTCTAGAAGCAATAGGTATGCCACAATTATCAGGATTGTTCCCTGAATGACTTAACCTAGAGTGCTGTCATTCTGCAATGCAGGCATGGTATAGAAAGATAAGGAAAATTTCTCTAAAGAAGCTCATATTTTGAACAACAGGCATGTATTTCATTAAAATCTTACATGATCTCAAGTACAGTAACTTGTCTTCTCTTCATTCATTTCCTCTGTGATTCTAAATACTCTTTTAAGAGCATCACTTAAAAAAAGAACTCTCTAACAGAACCAATCAGAAGGCCATCTGTGCTTCTGCAGCCAAGGGCTGAGTTTGGGACTCAGCGGAAGCTGGGGTGTTGCCCTGTATTCCCTGAAGTCTCAGCCTGAAGTCAAGCTCTTGGCTCTCTAACTGCACAGTTTCCAGTTAACTGGAAAGTTAAACTTAGTAGGAGGCACAGGGGATTCTTTTCAGGGCAGTATTTGAAGTTTCTGATTAAGGCAATTATTTAAAACCTAGAAGAGAACTCTCATTAGCCTTGAGGGGGTAGGAGAAAGGAGAATAATAAAAAGCCTTTAAGAAATACCTCCTGAAAAACTGACATTTTCCTCAGGTAACATGGAGCTGAGAATGTGTGGGATTGTCATGGGAGCTGATCTATGACACAGTACTGATCTCTAGGTCGTTTTTGAGTGTACATTTGAGTTTTCCATATTTTCACAATAGGATTGTCTATTATAATAATTAAATGAGAGCAGATAACCATTCTGAGGAAATTAAACCTTAAGTTTCTAGAGCTTCTATTGTTAGTTTATAATGAATTTTAAAAAGAGTTTGTTAAGGTATATATACCTTATATATATATATAGTGTGTGTATATATATATATATATATATATATATACACACACACCTTATATATATAGTGTGTATGTGTATATATATATATATATACACCTTATATATATAGCATATATATATATACATGTCTTGTATATAAAATATATAATCAGTTACTTTAAAACATACAATGGGTTTATAAAATTTCTAAAGCAAAAAAATTTTCTTATTTGAGGCAGATGAAAATCATCAACATTTTAGTGCAACTTATGTATAAGCAACAAAGAGAGGGCATGTTACTCAAATTCATCTGACTAATATACACATCATAGGAAGCATAACTATGAACAAAGCTAGTGGAGGTGATGGAATTCCAGTTGAGCTATTTCAAATCCTCAAAGATGTTGCTGTGAAAGTGCTGCACTCAATATGCCAGCAAATCTGGAAAACTCAGCA